TTTAAAAAAGACACTGATGTGTTCCTAGTCTGCTAATATACATTTCTATAGGTAACGTTAGCTAACGTTAATATTTGCTAACAAATGTGAATTTAAACGCGGTTGCTGTTTTATGTGTTAAACTTATCTCAGATTTCATCAAATAGATTTACGTTAACGTCAGGGATACAACAACAACATCCAGAAATTTGCAAACTATATGTATGGCCTAAATCGTTAATTTAAGAGTTTTATGTTTTTCAATTTATTGCAACAAACTTGCTTATGACTCTAACTGCTGCTGCTGCTTCTCTTGATGAATAGCGGGTTGCAAACAACATTTAGGTGCATACTGCCAACTACTGTAGAGGAGTGTGTAACACACACATCCAGTAATTCGCGATTTCGACCCTTGATACTACGTTTAAAACAATCTTTCTACCAGATTGCTGGAATACAATATAAAACGATCACAGAACAGATTTTTAGTCTGTCTACCATTTGGATTTATCTTAAATAGGGACATATTTTTAAGTATTTTTATTCATTAGCATGATAGTCTGCATTTATCTTATAGACAGATATTTTATAAAGTATTTTATTCAAGCGCATGATTGCCGTTACTATTCTGTTTAAAAATACCAGTACGAGGTAGAAATAGTGAACCAGACCAAGCTTTTATTTTGAAACGCAGAAACTAGCGGAAAGCACCAGGCGGGAGGGCATGAGACAATAGGGCATGAGACAACAGGGCATGAGACAATAGGGCATGAGACAACAGGGCATGAGACAATAGGGCATGAGACGGGAGGCTCCAGGCTGCAGCCACACCCGACTCACAAAAACACACTGACACATCAAGCAATGTGTGACAACCCACAGTCCACTGCTCTGTGTTTAGGCCATGGTTTTTGGACAGGATGTTTCCCAGCAGCTGCTGAAGCTTCAATAAGGTTAAATTAAACCAACAAGATGAGGGGAAAACATTTGAACATTTATAGGCCTATCAAGTATGTGTTGCTCTGTTTGTATATTTGTACTCTTTGCCTTAATACCCACCACTTCCACAGAGAAGAGATCCTCCCCAAATATTATTCCCAACTACCAGTATTTATTTATTAAGTGAGCATCACATTAACATGTTGTTGTTATATTTCTAATTTCTTCTGTATTAACGGAGACTAAAGAGGTTTGCAGGCTACATTCACAACACACAGTTTTCCTTCAGTGGCTTTGTGTTTGCATCTGTTTGGGCTGCTCATTAATGCAGCTGAATAGCCAGCTGATGTCCACATGTTCAGCTCTCTGCCTCCTATTCAAGCTGATCACCTGAAGAGAGGTGAAAATGCGCATCAGTCGCCTTTTCAAGCAGCTGATCCCCATTTGAATAGAGAGCCGACCTGGACAAACACACGATGGCCCGTTAAGTGAACAAACAGCTTCACTGTGATGTTAATGATGTGTTTGGACTCTCTTAGCTGCCGAGAGAAGCAGCAGATGTTTGTGAACAAACTGTCTGTTTCATCTGATTTCACCATTTAAACAGTAACCGTAATATAGCTACTCCTTTGTGGCCCGGGGAGAAAGTCCCAGACTCCCTTCAACAATCCTGCAGTTTAGTGACTTGTTGAGTTAGAGGACACTTTAGAAACTTTGTGAAACGCTGTCTACGACTAATTCTTAATGATTCTGCCTTCCTGTAAATTCAACATTAAATGTAACACATGAAGTTATTTCTGTCTTTGTTGTACAAAAAGCTTCAGCAGGATATTTTCATGAGCCTCTGATGTGATAATAACAAGCGCTTCATTAAAACTCTGCTCTGTGTGAAGCACACTCCCTCATACACATCAAATATGATCAGCTGGTTTCAGGAAACCAACTAACTAAACTTCATCTTCTGCCTGAAATCAAGGAGCCATGTTTCTAAACGGCCTTAGCGACAGTAACTAAGGGGCGGGGCGAGACGCCGTGACATCGCGAGAACACTCCGCGGGATCCCGCAGCGCTCCTGTATCTCAGCCTGAAGAGCTCCGAGACCAGAATCCAGACTCAGTCCAGGACAACACGGTCCACCAGTCACAGCGGAGACCTGCAGGACGATGGAGAACCAGAACCCGGACCGCAGGAGCCAAACAGCAGCCTCGTGCTCTGATAGCGCCGATGTTCAGGTCAGTGTTCATGACTTCATCACGAGACTAAAGACACGAGGAAGAGTCTCGAGGGTCCGTGTATCATCCGTTCATTCTGTTGTTAGAGATCAGAGCCTGAAAACCCGCTCCAGGGTTTGTGTTGACGTGGTTTGATTTCCAAAGTGTCTCCGTGGTTCCTGTTTTCATCTTCAAGATGGCGTTTCTCTTTTCTTTGTGCTGTGGGTTTTCCCGCGCGGCGCATGCGCGGTGCGGCCCGCGTTGTGTCGGGAGCGCGCAGAACAAACAATGATGGTGAAAATGAAGCAGAGTCATTATATTTGCTCGTGTGTTGGTGAGTTTCTCTCAGTGACAAACAGTCTGCCTGCATTATTGTTCTCTGAATGATCGTCGTGCAGGTTTCAGCTCTAAATAGTATCTGTGGAGACTCTTTGTAGAGATCAGAGTCAGTCTGGAGTTTAGTTTTCCTCCACTGCTGCTCAGCTTTTCAACACATCCTCTTCTGAAGTTTGTTCTGTGGGACTTTCCTCCACGGTGCCTTTTTCTCACCAGAGACTCTAACTGATGCAGTGACCTGTATTAGTGTTAGATCTCTGTAGGCTCTGTCATTAGCTAGTTAGCTCAGTAAACAGTTCTGTACATGCAGGCCAGCCATTAATTATGGATAGGGGGACAACATTTTCCAAACTGGGCCCCTCGTCGACACCCCACCTACCTTTAGTTCTAATACAAACTCTCAATCTCAGCTGAGGTGCCAGCCATGTCAGAACTGAAGAAGTCCTTTGGATGAGGGACGAAACGTCTTCCAGTATCTTCAACCAAGTCCAGTTGCCCTTGACTCTAAACTTCGTTGGATAATAGAATGGAGAGTTATTAGATGTGGAGCCAACCAATTTTGAAACCGAGTCAATTTTGAGTCTTTGGTCCATGTCTTCTTTTACTCTAATGGACATAAAACACCTTTTTAGATGGTGTTTGTTTTAAGACTGTTACCCTCCACCTTTTTGCATCTGCAGATTTCATCTAAATTAACCAAAACAAGCTAATCTGCATATTTACACAGAACATTTCAGGGGAAAATACTCGATGTAAGTCATTAACTGGGGAAGTTCTGTGGTGATATGCTTTACTTATTTTCTTCATCGTGACACCTGCTCTCATTAGACAGTGTAACTGCGGCGGCTGGTGGGGGCGGTCAGGCCCGCCATCAGGGGGGTCAAAGGGTACAGATGATCCCGGCCCAAGCAAAGGTCTATGGTTAACCCTTAAATGTGATCAAGTTTGACACTTGTGTTATGTATTTACATGATAGATAAATGTATTATTAGCATTAAAACATACACATTTAATGTGTATTCAAATATTAATATATTCATTTGTTAGGTTCTGTGTGCGCAGCATGAAGGGACTACAAACTTTGCTTCGTTATACAGCAGCCTTGTGTTGTATAATGACGAATAAACAACCTTGTAAAAGTTAAACTACAGGACAAAAGATATCTATATCTAAAAGCAACACAGACAGCCTGAGAGCTTCACTGCATTATATTCTATTATATTTTGAATCATCATCTGCCACCTGAATTTTGTGTTTCCCTTTATATTGATAAAGATTTGTAACAGCCTCAAGAAAACAGACCTACAGTAAACACTAGTCAGCAGCACATCACAGGTCAGAGGATACAGCTGCAAACATGGTTACAGTATAATAAGCTATACATGTGATAAACCTGACACAGTACTCATACAGTATTTCAGTTTAGTACATAATTTGACCAATACGTTGATGAATGTAGTCCTCAGTGTTGAATTTGATAGATGAAGTATGTGTATTTGTTCACTCATAATTAAATTGTATGATTTAATGCTTTGCAGTTATCTCTTCAATGTTTGATTTTTACTGTCTCTAATCAGCAAATCACTGAAAGGCATTTTTTTCCTCCTTGTTTTAAGTTAAATGGAGGAACATAACTGTCACAGTCTAATTTGAAAGTTTGTACTAGAACTAAGGGTGGGTTGGTCGAGGTGGTGCTGGATTGGGTGTCGATGAGGGGCCCAGTTTGGAAAATGTTGTCCCCCTGTCCTAAATTCCCAACGGCGGGCCTGGGGGCGGTAGCGATGTATGCCTGTATCGTACTTATATTGACAGTAGGTTTTTCTAGGTAATTTTCCATTCAGTTTTCAAGTGCGCCGCATGTGGTGGTGTGTTCGCTGTCGCTCAGTAAAATTGTAAAATTTATAATGTGTCGGCTTAATATTCTTTCTCTCTCTCTGTTTCTCTGCAAAAGCTTTCTATTTAGCTTGTTTTTAACATTTGGCTAATGCCAAGCTAGCGTTAACTATGCTTATATAAACATACAGGATGAGATACTGAGGACAGAGATGATTTCTTATCCATTGCATTGCAAAATAAAACCGAATTGACGCTCGAGACATGTACGGTACATAATTGGACCCGTAAGTCTTGATAGCAGTATCGATAAGCTTGAACCTTATTGATTTTCGGGTTTTGAGAATTTTTGGAACCAGGTCCCCATCCCTATATTACACCAATTTTAATGTCCTCCAAATGCGTGTGCCATGTGACTTCTTATTTTGGTTCAGTCATAGAGTGATCACGCCTGCAACTTCGACTACATTTATTAAGCCAAGATGGAATATTATAATAATAATATTAAGGGTGTGGATCCAAGGAATGAACAGTGGCTCAATAATCTAGGACTGAACTGTGGATTTGGTGTGTTGTTAAACCCTTAGTATAGAACTTTAAAGATGTGTTCTAATTATATATAGTTTATGATTTTTTAGATTGTTTTACATAGCTCGCTCCACATCTACATCTCACTTACTGTGTTTCTCTCTGCTGATATAGGGAAGGAGAAGAAGAGAGGGACTCAAATGTCACCGCTGTCAGCACTGTGACAAATCCTTCACAACATCTAGAAATTTGAAGAATCATCGGAGAGTTCACACTGGAGAGAAACCGTACAGCTGTGAACAGTGTGGGAAAACTTTCGCTCTGTCAAGTTACCTAAAAATCCACCAACGTGTTCACACTGGAGAGAAACCGTACAGCTGTGAACAGTGTGGAAAATCTTTCAGTACATCAGGTGCCCTAAAAATCCACCAACGTGTTCACACTGGAGAGAAACCGTACTGGTGTGAACAGTGTGGAAAAACTTTCCCTCAATTAGGTCACCTAAAAACCCACCAACGTGTTCACACTGGAGAGAAACCGTACTGGTGCGAACAGTGTGGAAAAACCTTCACTCGATCAGGTCACCTAAAACTCCACCAACGTGTTCACACTAGAGAGAAACCGTACAGCTGTGACCAGTGTGGAAAAATTTCCCTCAATTAGGTGACCTAAAATCCACCAACGTGTTCACACTGGTGAGAAACCGTACTGGTGTGAACAGTGTGGAAAAACTTTCCCTCAATTAGGTCACCTAAAAATCCACCAACGTGTTCACACTGGAGAGAAACCGTACTGGTGCGAACAGTGTGGAAAAACCTTCACTCGATCAGGTCACCTAAAAATCCACCAACGTGTTCACACTGGAGAGAAACCGTACAGCTGTGACCAGTGTGGAAAATCTTTCAGGACATCAGGTGACCTAAAAATCCACCAACGTGTTCACACTGGTGAGAAACCGTACTGGTGTGAACAGTGTGGAAAAACTTTCCCTCAATTAGGTCACCTAAAAACCCACCAACGTGTTCACACTGGAGAGAAACCGTACAGCTGTGACCAGTGTGGGAAATCTCTCACTACATCAGGTGACCGGAAAATGCACCCTGGAGAGAAACCGCACTGCTGTGAACCATGTGAGAAAAGGGGGGTACAGGAACTGCCCGAGTGAAATGGGCAGGATTTAGGACATCTACAGTCTGACGTGTGTAAAACTTTTTTTCTTTTCCCAAGTTGAGCTGCCCAATGCAGGTCAGCAGCACCGGACCTTATGTTGTTCATGTCCGCTGTAGCCAATAAATGAAGGCGAAGGAGCGAGGCGTTCTTTCCACACCTGTAAGTAGCCAATATTGTGTCAGTCTAAGATGCAAAGAACATTGTCCATTGTAAACTTATGATAAAGGTTTTGGCACGTGGTAAATTAATTTCTTGCTAATGGTTGTGACAGGGTTTACATGTAAAGGCCTTTTCAGACTGCTTGGATACGCGGGTCGCTCTGCGCTCCTCATAACTCAGGAAGTCAGACATATATCAACCGCATGGATATTCCGGTTGATTTTCAAAATAAAACACCCTGTGCAGGCTGCCGATCGTGTACCAACAATAAACAGTTAAAACAGACAAGAAGAAACAGTTAAACTATGTGGCCTACTTAATCATGGTAGAAGCATAAAAATCAAGGACATCTGAACAAATCAGCAAAATTAGGCAGGCAAAATGCTCTTATTCTGAAATGCTCCATGTGTAAAATGCAGCCGGTATTGTAGCTGATAACGGCTGAGAGTTGTCTGTGTATGGATGGATGGGTAGGCCAGAAACCGTACTTTTAAATGTTTGTTTCCTGTGTGAAACAAAAAGTGATTTTAGTTTTGTAAGTAACCACAAGCCACGTTTAGACCAAAGGTACCCAGGACTTTTAAAGTAAGGACAAAAAAAACGTCATCAGACGGGTTACGTGTAGATGCAGATGTACGCATGCCTCCCATTTTTTGTGACCACACGGACATGTCCGCGCAGCAACTAGTGCAACCAGGGCACCAACTCTACTCATCTACTGCGCATGTGTGGAACGTGTCCACCAAGCTGACTGCAGAAGGTTGTATAAACAGAAGTATTCAGCATCTGCTCCCCAGCATATTCAAGGCTTAAGTCCCCAGATCTCTTCTCAAGGAACTAACTATAACTGTTGTGTGCGTTTCCACCGCGGTCTAAAGACCTCACAGATTCGGCAAATTAACCAGCTGACATAGGCTGTAGGCTGTACTCTGTATAAAGGGATGCACAAGCCTCATTATTTGTAACTACTATCCATGAGCAAAATTCATAAATGATTTGACTGGAATATAATGAAAAATGATAGGCTTTGCATGACCATTAAACAGCTTATTTTGTGTGGGAGTATAATGAGGAGACAGCTTAAAGTTAGTTCAAATTCAATAACAAACTGGATGAAGCCATCACCTTCACAAAATAACTCCAGCACAGAGAAAGCAACACAAAAATAAAATCTTAATAAAAATGGAAACTTAAAACAACAACTTTGGACCCAGTATTTAGCGTAACTCCATCAGCTGTTTGCTGTAAACACACCGCTGCTCGCTGGCTGCTGTTTTGACTGTTGACTATTTGACTGATTTATTGGTGGCCAGTTCAAGAAAAACACCCGACATTCTCAAGTTTAAGCCAGTAGCCTGTACTTGCCCATTCAGAAATTCGCTGCAAGGCAATATTGCTTATGTTATTTTTAAGTTACTAAGTTCAATGTTTTGCTGTAAACCTTTGTTGTATTGTTATTGTCTTTATCATGAATCTTGACATCTGTAAGTTGAAAAATTTGAGCATTAAACACTTAATTTTCTGCATTCTGGTGAATTTCTTTGCACCAATTTCTGGTGAAAATGTTTTTATTCATGCAAATGGAAACACAAAATTCAGATGGCAGGTGACGACTCCAAATTTTGAGCCGAACAGAATTTGAAGGCAACATCTACATGTGTACTTAATGTTTATGTAACCCACAGCATCAATATAGGCTGTCATGGCCTCCTCCAAGGGTCACCAACAGCAAGAAAAGCATGTCGAGTTAAGTGTATGCTGGCAGCATTTACCAAGTCTCACAAACGGCATAAAACACGTAGTATTTGTTCAAACTCGTGGCGCAAAGTAGTTTAGATTGTAAATAAACAGTATCAATGCACAATTTAAGTGGATGAGGTTTAGTGCTGATATTTATGATCATTCAGACCGCTATTAACACTGCTTACCTTACAGGACACAGAAAGTTAACATAAAGCAACATGATGGCCCTGCCCAAATGTACATTAAAACTACTGTGTCCTGCAATGTACAAACTGCTGGATGTACTGAGGAATTGACGGCGCAACAGGGACACCGAGGGACTTATACAGGCAGCTGCCTTACATCCACCCCTTCTTTGATTGATGGCAACACAGCCATCAGAAAAAATTAAATTCAACTAAAGCTACCCAACACCCATAAGTCCAGGACAAACAAAAGAAAACGGAAATGAAAAAGATTTCTACTGAATGTTAGAGGTTTTGGAAGAACGGTTCTAAAAATGTTCTGGCTTTCTAAGGTTTCTCTAAAAACAGTTTTGAGGTTTTAGTTATTGACAGACTGAGTTCTGCAGGAACGGTGGAACCATGTTCTCTCTAAAGCCCCATTTTCACCACATGGTACTACTTTCTACTTGCCTTTTTTCCATTGGGGAAAATGGGACCTGGTGCCTTTTTTGGAATCCCCTCCGTCGAAGTTCCAAGCGAGCTGATGCGATACCGAAAAATGAGCTGCTTGTTTTTGGTTTAGGATTCCTTCGGTGTTGAGTCCAGAAGGTTTTTACCTGGTGCAGAATTACCACCTCGGCTGTCTCCTCTCCAAACAAACAGATCCGGTCATTAAAATCACTGAATAAAGCAGTTTTATTCTCTTCAGTGGACACCAGGTGTCAGCGAGCCGACCTCCTGACAGGGTACGAGCTGTCGACTGGAAATCAGTCAGAGCTTATGCAAAGCAGGTAGAACGCAACAGGTTTTTTTATCTTTTATTTAACGGGCCATGCTGTTGGACTGCCCCTGACTGCTGTTTTTGTTCTTTTCTCTGTGCTGGAGTTCTTTTAGGAAGCTGGGCCCCGTTTCAGAAAGCAGGATTAGTAAAACCTTTCAGTATGTTGAGCCTGAGGTGAGGGAAACTCTGGGTTTCAGAGACAAGATCAGATGAACTCTAGATCAGTAACCATGATCGTGAACATGACCGCCTTTGTGATAAATCTGTCGTATGGACAGAGAGTTATCTTTGGACGTTGTGGACAGAATGAAATTTAAGCTACACTGTCCTTTATAACACCCTGTGGACATTAAGGCAACAGTTGCATTGAAACCCTAACCGTGGGCTACATTACTGCAGTAAGCACTGTTAAAATCAAACTAATCTGTAGTCACACCGATGGAACGTTTCTATTATTGGCTAGTTATTATGTTGAAGATAACGATAATTTTTCTGCGTGAGGATGATTGTGATGCAGCTGAAAGAAATCAATGCATAGTCCTGAAGTTTGACAGCATTTCAATAAAAAGATTAGAAAATGAGCAAGATTTCTTTATTTAAAGTAGATGTCCTCAACTTTACAGTCAACATAGTTGAAAGCGAGTGTTTATAACGGTGATAAGAGGACCAAGAGGGACTATCCTTCCGTGCACAAGAAGAGAAAATAACTCCATAAGAGTGACTGTGGGGAACAGCACTCTGGTAAACTTGTGTTCTCTCCTCTGACAGTCTGATGTGAGCAGAGCTCATGTGTAGCTGCAGTGAATCTCTGGGTCTGTCTTGCATTGACTTACTTTTTGCAACGTTTCAAACCGTAACAACATGCTTTTTCACATCAATCAGTAGTTTTTTATTGCTAACTTTTTTTTTTATTGCTGACTTGACTGGACATTGCAGATGTTGCCAGTTATTGCTAACTTGGTTTGCAGAGCCATATATGTCCAAAAACGACGCCGATCGGTCTTGACAATTTCACTGATGCACAGAACATGGATACTGGAGCACGTGCCCCAGTAAAAAGTGTCTAACGAAGCCTTTGCATTAGTCCTTTTATCTGGAAAATGATTCTGGATGGAGTCAAACAAGTTTGGCTTCATAAATGTGATAAATCAAAGAGACTTAAGCACATTAACGTTAAACCCCTACAAAATGAAATGTGGCCAGTAGGGACTTATCAACACCAGAAATGTAGTATTCTATACTGATACCAGTAAAAATCCACAATTGTCATACCAATATATAAACAAAAGCAAAAACAAAACAAAAACTTCATGACCTTCAACATACACTGCTTTTAATAAAAACATTTGAACAAAAAAGGTTTGATATCATTAATGAGCAAGATGTTGACATTTTTACTTTGCATGTTTAATCAATAAATGAATTACTTTGAATTATCTTTAGAATCTCACAGGTGTGATATGTTCAAGGGTGCTCACTATCTACAGTGGGGGAAAAAAGTATTTGACCCCTTGCTGATTTTGCAGGTTTGCCCACTTACAAAGAATGCAACAATCTACAATTTTAATCATATGTACATTCTAACAGTGAAAGACAGAATCCCAAAGAAAATTCCAGAAAATCACATCATATGAATTTATTAAAATTGATAACCATCTGATGAGGAAAAACAAGGATTTGACCCCCTGGACAAACAGCATGTTAATATTTTGTAGAAAAGCCATTATTGGCCAGCACAGATGTCAAACGGTTTTTATAGTTGGTGACAAGGTTTGTGCACATTTCGGCAGGGATGTTGGCCCACTCCTCCCTGCAGACAGCCTCCAAATCATTCAGGTTCCGAGGTTGTCGCCTGGCAACTCGAATTTTAACCTCCCTCCAAAGATTTTCAATTGGATTCAGGTCTGGAGACTGGCTAGGCCACTCCAGAACCTTGATGTGCTTCTTCTTCAGCCACTCTTTTGTTGCTTTGGCGGTGTGCTTAGGGTCGTTGTCGTGCTGAAACACCCATCTTCGACCCATCTTCAGCTCTCTCACTGAGGGAAGGAGATGTTGGTCCAGAATT